TATGGCAACATGTTCATGGTTGTTGCAAGATAAGATAAGATAAGATAAGATAAGATAAGATAAGATAAGATAAGATAAGATAAGATAAGATAAGATAAGATAAGATAAGATAAGATAGACTTATTGATCATACAGTGGAGAAATGTACTTGTCACGTAGAGAAAAAAAACTAACTTACCCAGGCCATTTTCACAGTCTGTAAACTCCATGGAATGAACAGCTCTGTCAACCCCATATGGACCCATTAGAGTCCTGTTGAAGGCATAAGACATGAAGGACAAAAAGGAAACAAAACAGATAACAGGTCAATAAAATGAAACAAACATAAACACAGAATTTGTTTTTTCTTCAGAAGACTTAAGACTTCTTTAGAAAATAAAGCAAACTTGTATGGTATATATTAAGGTATGTAGAGTGATTAAACACAGATCTTGTTACGATGCAATCATTACGGTTTAGCAGAGTCCAGTATATTCCTTATTGGGGTTAGAACAATACATTTTGCTATCATTACCAGGATGTATTTGAATACTTTTCGATACTCTAAAAAAAAAGACAACACAAAAAACCCTTAGAACAAAACCACATCGATCAGTAAATAAAACAAAGACAAACTTTTCTAATGCACACAAATTTAAAATAAATAAAATATAAAACCATCTCTCTCTCTTGTCATGTGAAGAGGAGAGGCAGAGATGAATATCATGGCTGGCAAGTAAAAATAGAGATGTAAAACTGATGTAAAAAAGATTTAATTACTTTCCAAGCTTAATTTAGTGAGAAGCAAAAAGCGCATGGATCGAGCAATGCTTAGACTTTTTAAAAGATGAGATCAACGTCACAATGTTGCCAGATAAAGCAGTGATGTTTTGAAAGTAAAGTAGGGATATTACCAGAAAAAAGGTTTCTATGGTTATCAATATCTGATTTTTCAAGTCAATTAAAAAATGCTTTTTTAATTCCTAAAGGTAGAGGAAGTATTGCAGTAATTCATATGTTGATTTTCTTTCAACCATTTGCTGTTGATTGATGCTGTAGACAGGAAGGATCTTCTGTAGCAGTCTGTCTAGCATAGGATCTAGAGAAGCCTCTGACTGAAGACACTGTTGTTGTTTATTAATCTTTTGAAGGGGATGCTGGACCTTTAAGAAGAACATTATGGACAACAGTGAAGAGTTTTATGGGATAGAGCTTTTATTTGAGCTGTGGGTATCGGATCAAGGCTTTGAGCAAAAAACAAAAGAGAAAAACACAACTTCATTACAGGATTATACAAACCCAGAACATATAGTAGCATCGACCAAACTAACAACAATGTATTGGGGAAGAAAAAGTCAACTTTTCGGCCAAAATTCTTCTGCAACTTAGGGAATGATCTGATGTCTGGAAATGATTCAGTTCTTGGACCACCAGAATCTTTCATTTAGTCTGTATATATTTAATTTAGATTTATTTTTGTGCATAATGTATTGATATTAATATTCTTTTCTCATTCTCCCTTTGGACTGGGTTCCTCCAGCCCTAGTTCTAATTGAAATGACTAAATCACCTCCTCAGCATGCCATTCAGTTTGCCAAAGGTCTGCTATTTGGCCATTTATTTCATTCAGTTCACAAAGCACACACACATCTAAGGACAACTGCGTTTTAGGAAAATCCATTTTATCCCAACCATGACAATGACTTTTTTATGAATTTAGTGAAAGGAAAGGTTTTAGGACACAATCATCTCTTACTTTACCTCAACACATGCAGTTAAACTGTCTCTATTTCAGTGTGATGACGACAGAAACACGTCTAACTTGAGGAGCATAATGCCAAGCTTCACATCACATCGTTGATTAAAAGACATCATGTGAAAACCCTGCTCAAAAGTTAGAAACTTGTCCCTGATTGTCTAGTGGTCAGCATTCAGCGCTTTCACCGCTGCGGCCCGGGTTCGATTCCCGGTCAGGGAAATTGTATTGGGTCACCTACTGGTGGCTGGATGTAGAGCTTCAGTGCTCTACACTGACATGATTGGTGTTTCAGCCCTTCTAAGTGGGAAAGCAGGTTATTTAACCCTAAACTGCATTTGGTATTATGCAACCTCCCCACTTAGTTGACTGCGTATCTCTAATCTTGTTCAAAGATGATTTTCGAGAGCTAAAAGTTTATTTCTGTAAGAAGAAATATAATGCAACGCATATGTTGATTTGGTCAGACTTTTCGTGTTGACCATCTGTCTCGGTAAACTCTTCCTTGTAAATCACGTTACAACCAGTGAACACTAGAGACTGACATTTTTTTGGGAATCCCACGGGTCACGGGATTCCTGTGGGATTCCCGTGGGATGGGAGTCAGTATAAGTAACGATCACGTGATTGGGACGGTACAGGACTAAACATTAACAGGAGCAGACGGGAGCGGGAGCAAACCAATAGTAACTAAAAAAAACTAAGATCGATGCCAAAAAATAAAATAAAATAGAAAGAAAAAAAATCCAGTACTGGCGCCACCATTTTGTAGTTTTTTTCCATGAAGCCTACACTATAATGCGAGTCAAAAAAACTACACGACCCAAAAACCAACAGTGCTTCCGCTGTGAGTTTTTAACCCGCGCTACAAAAACAATAATGGAGGGACCAACAGTTAGTGGCGAACTCGACTTCGAAAAGTTTGAAAAAAGTTAAATCTTATTGAAGACAACAAGAATGGGAGGTGTGCAGGAACGGGAGTCATTCTGAATGGGAGCGGGATGGGAGTGGGAGAAATTTCACCAGGAGTGGGACGGGACAGGATTTAGATTTCTTATTTGGCCCGGGATCGGGAGTGGGACGGGACAGGAGTGAAAATCCACTCCCGTGTCAGTCTCTAGTGCACACCACTCAATCACATCTTCCAAACCCAACTTTATACCTTTTTTTTCAAGATCTTGCCCGTTTTATGTCTAAGGCGTCATGTTTTTCAATACC